TATGATCTCCTTCTGAGCGTTCAGCTTCTAACCTGCTGCATTACGCAGGTGACCATCTCGATCACGCAGGTCTCCATTCTCATCAGTAGTGAGAATAATAGGCGCTACCCCGGTTAGTATCGATCGATGTAAGGTGAGGTATATCGATCGATGTCGGATGAAGGGTATCGGTCGACGAACGGTTGTTGATGTCGAGCGATGTGACGGTGAGAGTATCGGTCGACTGTGGTTGGCAAGTATCGTTCGACAAGGATGTGTTGATGTCGATTGATGAGGAGCATAGGTCTTTGCGGATGCTACGTTCCAAGCTGTGAAGATCTTCTGAGTACAAAAGGTGTTTGTTTTTGTTGCTTCTAGTACTACTGGGCATGTATCTGAAAAAGTCAAGAAAAAAATTTTGGTGTCAGAAGATAATAAACAATAAAAGAAAAATAACCTAGACCTAATCAGATTAAATCTAATGTTATCAAAGTTCCCCGGCAACAGCGCCTAATTTGATATCACTCAAATGTTTAACCCTAAGAAGTGAATTACTCTCTCAAATAAGAGGTTCAGTTGTAGTACTTAAGAATCGAATCCACAGGGAACTAAGGAACACAATAGATGTAATCCTAAGTGATTATGCTAGGTTGATTAGGTTTAAAATAGTAAATTGCAGTTTGTGAGCACTGGTAAGTTGCTTAAGAGAATGGGTTTTGGTTTAAAACAATAAAAGAGAGTAGTTAGATTCAAGGCTGCTATTCAGATAATTAGGATTATAATGCTACAGATGTTTTAATGAATTGCTTGCAAGATATATGAGAACTTCGATTCTTAGACAGATTTAATAGCAATCGCTAAACAGACACATCCATTGATCTTATTGCCCAGCAATATCGACCGCTGTTTTGACTGCGATATCGGACGATATGGGTTGCTGTCGATTGATAACTCTATAGGAGTATCGATCGATATAGCATAAGATCGAATCGAAACCGTGTTCACCAAGATCATAGAACGGCTCTCGCACAACCCTAGAGGATCTAAGCTTATGCCAAATGATTTCAGGACAATGATTAACAAGTTAAATCACATCCATGATCATACTCTAGGTAGCTACTCTAGAGTAAGCATTAGGGTTCATTTGGATAATGAATATCAACAATTCAACATTCCATAGTTGGGGCTAATCCCTCATAACTATTTGAACCCTAAAT